AAATTTGCAGGCAGCTAGATTACAGATTTTTTTTTTTAAATTCATATTATTGAATGCTAGGTGGGAAACAGATTTTCAAAGTAAAAAAAATTGTTTGTACTCTTTACTGTCTTCTCTCCCTCTTAACTCTGCCTCTGCCCATGTACAAGATGGATAATTTTTACTGAAGAATAAACAGTAAAGATTACAAATCAAACAGTTCTCAGTAAACCTCCTTCAATGGCTGGCTTGTCTAGCAAGCAGAGAATAGTCAAAATTCTTTGTATTTAGTTTGGAATCTGCCCTGATTTACTGCTAATCTCTCATCAGGTCTGTAACTGAGCTGAATGCCAAAGATAGAGATGCAAAAGAACTCAGCCAAGGTTAAGGACTTTTCCTATAAACAATGGAAGTAAAAGTCCTAAACAATGCTACAAATGATTTAATGCTTTGAACATAATACCAAGCCAGGAAGAAACTGGGTAGGTTAGTATTATCATCTTTTTCTGCATATGCTTCATAAAAGGTTCTATTGCTAATTAACCACTGTAGAAATAGATAAGAATCAAGGAGACTCATGATTTAACTCTATGTTGTTGCTGCAGAGAAAACAGTCCTATGACAAAATTACAATCTTGGAGAAATAGGGTGAAGTGATTGGTGGTATGTCTGAGCAGGGGGACCTTGGTGCTTGCTCTCTGTTTGGAGGCATTCCACAGTAATACCCCAGATGACATTCAGAAGCTTTCTCCCTGTTTTCTTTCCCTAAGCTCTCATTCCCACATAAAGCTATATTGGCTAGACAAAGGACTGTTAACAAAGATTCCTCGTTTTCAACTGCAACTCAGTTTACCAGACTGTCCTGTTTGCTGGGAAATATTGCAGGACCTAATCCCAAAAACATTAAGGAGTGTGCAATCAAGTCAATGGTCCCAACTGTAAGCCTGATTTTCCTGCATGACTGATACTGCACTTACATATAAAAGTTCTGTAGAGTCCTGAGTATGCAAATTAGGTGCATGATATGTGCTCTTGTACTTTTGGAATTAAAGTAATAAACACTACACATTGACCAATACACTCCTCTTAATATACTGGTTACATTTAATTCATTTGGAGTAATGTGCAAAATTGAAATAGGGCTTAATCCCTTTTTTACAGCTCTCATTCCTAGTTGGCCTTTCTCTTAGATGGTATTTGGTTTCTACCACAAGAATTCTGGCCTTCCTAGGATTGAACTGCCTTTCTTCATTAGTGAAGAAAACGCTGTCCCCTCAATACCTGGAAGCAAACAGAGGCCTGCCAAAAAGCTAAAACTTTGGAAGTTACACAAACCTGCCTTCTTAAACTAAGATTCAGATTTTAAAAAGGGAGACACCAGAAAGATGATCACCTAAAATCAGCAGCAACAGTATGGAAAATAATTAATCCCATTACCAGTTTTAAGACCTAAAGTTAAGAAACCAATGCATAGGACAAATAAATCCTGAGCTGAAAGTGAACCATAAACCACAAATTCTCATTCTCATATTGTTTAGGTTGAGGGTGGGTTTTTTGTGTTTGACTTTTTGTGGGGTTTTTTTCCCCTCCTTTTTCATGATGTAGATTACCTTTTTGAGCAAAATCCATGCAAATTCGAAACAACTTGACTTTCTGGCTAGGTGAAAGAATTAGAATTGTGTTACAGTTACATTACAGATAAGAAGTGAAAGGTTAAAGAGTATTAAAATCTGGAATGCTTGGATAAAGAGGACAGTATTGAGTGAAAAAAAATGTAGCAGGAGCAAAACATTTTGAAAAGAAGGACGTGGATTCAAACCAAAAAATTCAGTCTGTATACATGCAAAAGCCTGTGTATATGAAATGGAGAATAAATTTTTTTACTGTTAGAAGCTGTAATTCTAATAAACAAAAAATACTTTGAAAGAGAGGAGTAATTTTAATAGAACGAGACTAACTATAAATAACTAAATATAAACACCTTGTAGCACTGGAAATACCATGCAGTACTGCAGAGATGCAATACACTAGTGGATTTATATAAAAAGTTCAGGCACACACAGACCTGTTGCCTTTACTCAGTCATAGCACAGAAGCACAACAGGAAGAAAACACAGCATACTGATAATATTGAGACATGGGTAAAAGCAAAATACTGAAAGACTAGACACTGAGCTCCTTGTCCATGGAGAAGCTGTTATTGCACACTGGGCATCCAGTACCATACCCTGTGTGAATAGCTGTGACCTCTGACAGGTGAGCTGCAGGATCTCTTAGTCATCACTGGACTACGAGGAGGTTTACCCATAACAAATAGCTCCCTCTTTAAATTAGCCTAGAAGAACCACAAAAACTTTGTCAAGCAAGAGTTTAAAAATGAAGCACCATGGGATTTTTGTTGCTTCATTCCTACATGCAAGTCAACATGCTTTTCCTGATAACAAAAAGCAATTGTTACAGGTAGGAGGAGTACTGTTAGTACACAGTATTTTCATTGCTACCACTGTATCTTTTTTTCCCAAAGGTTTCCTGCTCTGGTACACACCCTTGCATGTTACAATTGTAAGATGAATCATGTATAGCATATGCGATTGGAACAGTTATTGTATGTGTACCCCCTGAAGTAGCTCAGATAATAACACAGAAAAGCTCAACAGCATAGAGCAGAAATGCTACCTCAGAAATACCAATGGGGAATGTAATTCCGTGCTGTTAAACAGAACACACCCCCTGGATTTGCATTTAGAAAGCAAGTAAATACTTGGTGGAAAGTACTCCATGGAAGTACCCTCATTTTGTTAGTATCATTACAAATCAGCTTCATGTTTGTCAGAATTCAGTTATTAAGGAGTGTGTGTGCAGCCCATGTGAAATCTCATGGGCAGGAGTGACCTGGGGGGAATGTGAGGAGAGCAGAGTGCTATATTGGAAACCTTTTCTTAGGTATTTCTCACTGTCAGTAGAATGTGACCAAACAAAAAAAAAAAAAAAACCACCCAAAAAACCAAAAAAAACCAAAAAACATCCCACTCTTAGGAGAGGGGTGAATAAGAGCAGCAAAAAAAGATACCAAGAGAGGCCAAGGAGGCTGAAAAATGTCAGCATTTCTCCTTATGATGTGTCTTCAGACTTCTTTTTTTGGAGGACACATCCCTCCCACCAACAAAATGCAAAGTGACACTTCCCACCCATAGCTCCTTGTATTCCATTTAGTTTTAAGCCACATAGCAAATAAATATATATATATATATATATGTGTGTGTGTGTGTGTACATATGTATTTTTAAATTAACAAAAGTTACTGAAGTTTGCATATACTGTTTCAAGAACATATATTCTTTCTATTTATTTTCAGCTTGGATTAAAACACCTTGCTCAAATAAGGGCAAGGAATATACAGGTCACCTAAAAAGAATTTCAGTGTAGATGAGGAATGTTCTTAATTTTTCTGGTTAGGCTAAGCAAAAGCACTCTACCAACTGCTACATTATTAAAAGCTGCAGACACAAGTGCAGCACTCTATTTTACTCTTGAGGTGGAACAAACCTAAGCTCATGACAGACTCATGTCCTGGAAAGAAGCCTTATGTCTCTTCCCTGCTTCAGAAAAAAACCCAACAGATTCGTTGACCTTAAGACTTCTTTAAGTCCATTATGTCTGTTTTTTCTGTGAATGCACATTGTAAATTGGGGTAGATCTTAAGAAAAGAAAAAACAAGGAGGGCATTTATGACATAGATGTAATGATGGAATGATCACTTTTCTAGGATAGTTTCTCTTTACGTTACTTTTTCTCCTATTCATGAGCAGACAGATCTTCTGGAAGTTAGCACTGCAAATTAACTTTGTCTTTCTAGAGCAAGTTTTCATTTTTCTGCCACAGAGCTTCAATGCTGACACAAAATGTAGTCCTGAAGAGGGAATAATCTTTGTCCAGTCCTTGACTAACAGAATTGGTATTTAGAACATGACCCTCAGCAGTGGTGCTTTCCTGTGAAATTTATGACTTTTCTCCCAGACTTTGGATTGAAATTGAAAACAGAAACACAAATGTTATCTAGTTTCTGCATAGTTGAATACAGTTCTGTTTCATTCAATTAACTCAGTTACACTGCTGTCCTGGTATGAACCTAAAATTGAGTAGAAGGCTTTCTGCTTTCCTATCATTGGTATCTCCTAATCTATTGAATTGTATCACAATGGTTATAGCTTTACCTTGTGTTTCACTTGAAAAAGGCCTATCAATCCTCCATTTCTTATGTTATTTAATATTAGTAGAGAAAGCAGTACATCTGAGAAGATCAAACTCAGTGTTAGCCTTGCAGTTATTTAATAGACATGAAGCTTTACAACAATCCATATTCAAGGGGTGCAGTTACCTTTAAATGTAGTGAGTCTTTCTCCTGCTGCTCTAAGGGTTTAGAGAGGAGAGGAGCTGAGAGGGAAGCAGTAGACAGGGATATTGTAGGAACGGAGTGGGAAGTAGGTGCCTTGGCAGAGGGAAATGGAAGATTAGAGGAAAGATGGAAAAGAGGATCAGTCTCTTGATGTTCCAGTAGAAAGCAGAGCTGGCTTAAATGTTTAAGAAATATGAGAAGTAGCTCTGCTATAAAAGCGTGTTCCAAAATCAGCTGAAGGATGTCAAATGCTCAGTAAGGGGAGCTTTTGTAACTAACCTCAACAATCACAAATCTCATGCTAATCTTATTATTAGTCATCTACTTTTCTGGAAGACATCTCTTGCCTCAGAAAGCATTAAAACGATGCCATTTGTGGCCATGGATTTCTCCTCTATTCTTAAGTTTTTCTTCTTTGTTTTTCAGATCATTTAAGGGTAGAATGTAATTAAAGGGCAAAATGTAATTAAATAGTTTAACATTTGGTCTATAACCTATTGTCCTAAGCACCTGACATGCATGCTGTCAGTGAAAGCAACTACCTGAATATTCTGTTGAAGTAAGTGCTGAACAGAAAAAAGAGCTATGCTTGGGAGCCACACAAAATGTATAGTTACATTGTGGCATTTAATGGCCAGCACACACTTGGGATAGCTCAGTGATGTAGGGTCCCAAAGAGGAACGGGGAGGGCTTGGGGAGGAAGCATTTGTGTAACTGTCAAACATAATCTGATCTGTTACTGTTAGTCAGATCCTTGTAACAGAGCCTGCTATAAATACATCAGCTGTGAGCTGACACATGCCAAGCACAAACCGCAGAGTCTCTGCAGCAGGCACACGTCCCTCCCTCTGCAGGCTGCTGACAGCATTTGCTTGTTGGGGCCTCTCTCAAAAGGGGCAGCACGCAATGGGCTGGGGAGGGAAATGGTTCACTGGCTTTTCACATCAGAAACTCTTCAGCAAACAGCAGGGCAGGAGGGAAAGGACTAGCACAATTGATACATCATAGAATTTACAATAGTGCATATGCCTGCTTCTGAGAAGGGACTGCCCCCTAACGCTGACAATGTTTAATCATAGAATCATAGAATGGTTTGGGTGGGAAGGGATCTTAAAGATCATCTAGTTCCAACCTCCCTGCCATGGGCAGGGACACCTTTCTTCTTAAACCATCTTGCTCAGAGCTCAGTTTTATCAAATGCAATTATATAAAAGTGTGCCTGTGCACAATACAAACGGTAGATACAAGGCAGAGAATAATTATACTAAGTTATCTGAACACAGAAGTCAGAGTTGTCAGAAATTAAAATACCTTAAAAATATCTGGTGAAGTATATCCTTCATAACAATCCATAGAATCTTCTCCACTTCCTATTGGGAATTCTAAATTGTCATGTACCAGATCCTCCTCTATATACAGTCTAGTCAGTTCTTCTGTTGTGTCTTGTGCTTCTCCAGAGAAATCTGATTCTTGAGATTCTGACTGATCCTCTTTATTAAGTGACAGGTCTGCAGTACAGATTTCCTCTTCGTTTTCAGCACTTGCAGCTAGCACACTGGACAAGGAACCTTCTTCATATGGCAAAGGGATGTTATGCATAGCACCGTGTTCACCTTCTCTTGTAGCATCTGACAAATCTCTAGGTACTTCAATAACTAAACGATCAATTATGCTTTCTAAGTCTTTATCTTTTCCTGACTTGGTATTGTTGCTGACATGCTTATGTGTTATGTCATGAGATGAGCTGGCTGAAGATGAGACAGAGGGAGATACAAGAGAAGACAGAAGGAGATCTCTAGGAGAGCTGAGAAACACCTCTGTATTTGGCATAAAGTGACCATCCTTAACATGGTGAATGCTATTACCTGGGGAGATTGCTACAGTCTGGGAGGTTGCTAATGCCAAAGAATTGAGTTCTTCTAAGTCACAAAGAAAACTGTCTGGAACTGATGGAGAAGTTAAGCTGCACATGCCTGAAGGTGAAAACCCAACAGTCCTTGAGAACAAGTCACTACAGTCAGCCTGGAGAATCTTTTGATCAATGTGTGACCAAGACGACGGAAGTTGTCTGGAAAGTGGGGTCAGTGCTTGGGAAGGCAACTTCAAAAATAAGAAAAACATGGGAATTGAAATAGATAAGCATGACAGAGAATTAGGATATGAGAAAACTGGAAAAGAAAAATGTCTGTGCCATCATCTGGATTACAGGGTACAATTTCAGTGACCATGGGTGTCTGAAATCACTACTATATGAATCAGAACAGCAGGAAAGACACTTGAAACATGAAGCCATCAGGTTCTGGCTTAGGGCATAAATGTCAAACATGGAGACAGATCTGAGTCATTACATTCATGAAGGCAACTGCATTTGATCTGCTGAAGTTATGTTACTCATGGTGCTCTGTTAGTGAGCCTGTCACAGGTTATTAAATCATACAATTAATAATAATAATACATTTTTCCCAAACCATTACTCTTATTTTGAGAATAGAATTTTCAGAAGTACACTTCAGGTGTTATTAAATACTTCTTTCTAAGTACAACAACCAAGGTAATTTCTAATTATTAAAATGTTAATACTTCTACTTTTTCTTAGTACTTCGGAGTAAATGTTTAAGAAACATCTTTAATACATTGCATACTTTTATTAAGGCATAAACTGCTGCTCAGAATGAATGAATTTGAGAATTCAGAATGAATTTGTTTTTCAAAATTAACCCTATTAGTTCAAAATGATGTCAACATTTGTGAAAGGTACATTCAGTTCAAACTGGACATAGGCAATCAACAATGCTTTTGAAATAGTGACAGTACAGTACACAAGAGTATGCTTTGAGTACCGTTACACAATATTGATTGAAGTATCCTTCTGGTAAAAGAAACGTCCTTTTCTAAGAACGAGAGACTGGTGAGTCATACGTACACAGCATCAGTAGATATCCATTGCTTCAGTAAATACTGAAAATGCATTTTTATTACTATAAATCCTCAAAATTAAACTTGAGCAAAAAATATTTTGATCTCATCGTTACAACTATCCAAAATAATTAGATGTACACCTCTAAGTTATCTGGATTACTACACACTTTAATTATTAATGTAGTAGAGAAAAAAAATCTCAGAAGTCTACAATAATGTTGCAGAATAGGAAGGTTAGTTTACTTACCTTCTGCTTGAGTTTTCTTGAGGCAAACAGCTTTATATTATAGTTAGACAAACCTTTGTTACAGAGTCTTCTGTACCAAAGTAAACAGTATAGACTGCTACAATACAGCCTGCTAAACAGAGCTAGGCTGTTACAGAAATACTCAGTCTCTTTCCCTCATCATTCCTCTTAAGCAAGGGTCCCTAACCTGTGGTTTTAAGGTCAATAATACTGCTGAGGAGATTTCACCATTTTTACTTTCCCATGGCTATAAACTGTACTATGTAACTATATCTAAAGATATAGATGGATTAGGCCACGTTACAGAGAGCAAAACTTGCTCACAACTTGTATTGCTTATTTATCTTACTGCCATTAGGCCAGAGAAGTTTAGTACAATTGTTCTAGCAACAAGGAGTGATATGTGGTAAAAATCTCCAAAGGAATAGGGAAACTGGTTTCAGAAAGTATGGTAAACTCTAGAACACCTTCAGGACTGATGAAATTCTTCTAGGTAGCCAGGAACAATATGTCTTCTTCATGGTATTGCCATTTCTGAATACAGCAGAATCCAGAAAAAAGATGTCTGTTTAAGAGTCTCAGTGGAAGGTGGTTTTGATTTTTTTTTTACCTGATTCTTGAAGAAGTATCCTATGTTAAAAAGAAGGCTTCTACCAATTTCCTTCCCTCATGAACTAGTTTAATAAAAACTAACTTAATAATAGCAGGAGGATACTTTTGTAATATGGATGTAAATGCTCTGAAGCACCACCTGTGCTCAACAAGAGCTATGGAGCTTTGGCAGGATACCTTAGAGAGAAGCCTGCTCCATAGAAACCAGGGAGAGGCATCTCTGGAATAGGGAGCACTTAAGCTGCCTCATAGTCTTGACTTGCCTTCAGGACCCTCTGGATTCCTGTAACAATAAGGAGCCCTAGCTTATGAATATCTCAGTTGGCAGCTACAGAATTTGATTTTACTTGAGCAGTTTTGTGGGAATAGAAGAGATAGGATCTAGTTCTCTGTTGTGACACATTCTGGAAAACCAGACAAGACCTGTTCTAGCAACTGTCCCAAACTAACTGATACTTATTACTAAGAAATATTTTCAGGGGCTACTGTTGCCTATAAATGACATCTTTGGGTAGCTTTTTACAACCCCAAAGTAGTTAGCAAACGTGGAACTTATTTCAAAGTTGAAGCATGTGGATGATCATCAAGTATGGAAGTAGATAGAAGTAGAAAAGAGGACAAACCCAAATGAAACATTAATTAATAGCAGGACAAAGAAGTTTATAATTACACACAAAACTCACTGCCCATGTTGAAGAGATAAACAGCAAAGGTAAAGAGGAAGATCTAGAAAAGTTTCCATCTTGAATGTTCAAAGTAATTGATAGCAAGTTAATTCTAAGCACAGTTTGTATGCAGAAACTTCCTTAGTTTCGATCGCTGCCAAAAATGTCATGTTTCCTACACAGTTGAGTGCAAGTGAATGATAAACCAGAACACAGGAATCTTTCTGCAGCATCCTGTAGTATGGTTTGTGGTGGTTATCTAGACTAGGAAGGAGAACAATTTGGAACCTATGATATGCATCTGGTGTGAAAAATATACAACCATAAAGGTCTGCATTCAAGTTCATTGACAATGCGATGACAATCATCTCACTCCTAAATGAAACAACACTGTCAGTTTGTACCACTCCAAGGAATGTACCAACATTCTAGCCTCCTCATAGACTGTGAATGGCAAAAGGAGGACGGTTTTGGTACAGAATCACTGGCTGTTCTCCTTTGCTTTAAAGGTACAGAACTGGTCTTGGCAAGCTGTGTCCTGCATGCTTATGGAACCGTAGGCTTTTAGGACAGCTGTGTTATGGGAATGCCTTCACATTGTACTATTAGAAATCTGCTAGACATACCCTTAGTGCTCAAATTCTTGCTAAGATTCCCAAATAAATTTTTCTCTGTTGACTTGACTTTTCTGCCCAAATTTCACCTGTCTCTACTAAAAATAATGTAATAGTCAATTAAGAAAAGAGCATAAATCCTGGCAGAATATGAGACACTCTTGTCTATTAAAAATTATTTACTAACAACATAGTAATGCAGTTTTACCTGTGCAAGAAAGAAAATGTTGTGTACTTAATCCTAAGTTATATATAATGTTAACAAAATATTACGAGTCCTCCTAAACCCACTCTAGGGGTGGCAGCTAACATCAGAAAATCCTTACCTTAGTTGAACTTAAATGATGTATTCTGTCACTAGAATAGCTTTGGGGAATTGGAGGGTCAGGATAGTCATCTACACCTTTTGATGGATTCTTTTTGATGACTTCTACATAGGAGACAGGGAAGATGCCTTGTTTGTTGGTTCCTGGTATTTTACCTTCATACCAGTTTTGATCAACTCGCTTAAGAAGAATTACTCTGTCTCCCTGAAATGCATTATGAAAATGAGTTATTAGCACATACATTGAAAGTTAATTTTGTACATAACAACTATTATTTTAACACATAATATTATCTTCCCTAAAGTGCTGCTTCCCATCAGTCTTGAGCATCATCTCCATTTTCCCATTTTTTCCTGCCATTGATAACAGCCATATATAAAACTATCATTCCAGTAAACTGAGGGGTTAGGCATAGACTATAAATGCTGTTCTTTTATCGGAGGGGAATCTTATCTAGTCTTTCCTTTTGCTTGGGAGATTAACATTAACACTTTACTTTGGAACATAACCTGTTTTAATTGTTGGCCAAACCACTAGCTAATGCCCCAACCATAGTATGCATTGACTGATATGCCCATTTTTTCTCAAGAGTGATAAAAGTTCAACACTGAAATCTGTGCAAGTGCTTTGTTATCAGTAAAATTCGAGTAAGTGAAGGTAGAAAAATAAAATGTGTCAGTCTGTTGAAAATATGAGAGAAATAAGTGTTTTTTCCTATGAAAAATGGGCAGAACCTCACTGTTCTTAGGAACTGTAGAAATTGAAATGGGAAACATCAACCTTATATTCAAACATTGTACTTGATGTGCTAGACCCTTCTTTGCTTTACATGATGTTTTTTTCACCACGTCTTTCTGAAACAAATCCTTGCCTATTACTTTTGCATTCTTTTGGGTTTCTTCAGTTTTGTTTCTGTAGTTGATGTGTGGAGTTCACTACAGTTGTCCTTAGTGAGATGGAACAAAGGAAAACCAATGCAAATCAACTTTCCAAACAAACCAAAATTGGGCCATTAAGATTATGATCACCTCAATAAACACAAAAGCTAATTTTAGAAAGAAATAAGACACCCAATTACCCCCAACCTCTAACTTCTCTAAATTCCTCTTCCTGGGGTTTTTTAGACCTCTCTGACTTTTACAAATATCAAATTAATAAAAAAAATCCATTCTTTCCAGTAGTGCTGGATTAGGCTGTAGGTCACCAACAAACATCTCTATCCTTACTTTTTTGCTTAAAAGAAAAACAAACCACTGAAAAGCTTCTATGAACTCTAATTCTTAAAAGAAAAAAAAAAAAGTAAGGGGCAGAACTTCCCAGTGGATGAGAAGTAACCACTGCTTACAACTAAGTATTTAATGTCTGCAATAATAAAGATTCTCTACAGTATTAATATTCCAATGTCTAACAAACTTCAGAAATTAAACAGTTATTTTGTTCATGTGCAATTCAGTATAGTCAACAGGATATGCACAGGAAAGATAATAGAACATTAAAAACAAAGAGCTGGTGTTAAATAAAATACTTACATTCAGAAAAATATCTCTGAGGCTTTTTTTGGTATCTTTTATCTTGTGTAATTTTCTATTTATTCTGCATCAAAATCCTTACTTTAATAATTGTGACAGCCAGGAATAATTTAAAAAAGGAATAGATAATTGAAGTGAAAACTCAAAATTTAGCTGGGCAGTTAGCAGTTGATTGCATATGCTACTCTGCCACAGTCCAAATTAAAGGCAAAACACATTTACAGTATTTGCAGGTAGCTGAGACAGACTGCAAGGCAACAAGCTATTTTCCACCACGGCATTGCTTTGTGCATTGCAAATCTAGAATGCAGAGTGCACAAAGAGCAGTATTTACCTATATATTGATTCTGTGTAGCAGGAGACATTATAATGCTATTTTGATGGAAGATAGTTCTCAACTGTACCTTTCTAAGTGATAACTCCACATTTGTGTCTGCACTGAAATTATATTTGGCAACAGCTTCTCCAATCTCTCCAATCTGTGCAGGGGGAGGTGGCCTGGCAGGCTGTGCTTTTTCTGGGGGAGAAAGTTTCTAAGGAAAAAGAAAAAACCAGATTTTCATCATTCTCATGTGCTTTGTGGTAATGCCTATTACCCAAATTATTTAAAAGAATTAAAACAAAGAACAAACCTCAACATAAGAAATTGGGAATATTCCAACTCTTCCATGGTGCTCACCCTCATACCAGTTTTGATCAATTTTCCTGAGGATATAGACAGTATCTCCTTTCTTAAAGGACAGCTCTCTGTAACAAATTTATTTATATCAGATGTTTATAGCTTTACATTTAACTCTTCTCCCTGCATGGTTCCTGAGATCTTTACAGTTTGGAACTGAAACAGAATGTAACAACTAAACATTTGAAGAAAAAGTGTCACAGCTGTGGTACATTTATCAGTTGATCATAACATATAAAATCAAATTACTTGAATTTATGAATCCCATCCAAAAGTTACAAAGGCCTGTCTTACATTGTCATTCCAAAGAAGCATTGCTAGTTACCACCAGAGAACTTAGTATGATGTGTGCATGCAAGTATGATGATCATGGCTTATCACTACCTTTCTGCAGCATAAAGCTTGGTGTGCTTCTGCTCTACACTTTTTTTCTTTCATAACAGCTATTCAGAAGCATGAAGGATACAGAATTATGTTCTCACCATTTCTCAATATCAGAGATGGTGAGTCGTTAAATGTTGGATACCAAAAAAGGGACTTTTAAACATCATTAAGAATATTTTCAGATCCTGGCTTGGGAGATTTTGCTGTATCATCCATTTGGTTTTTCAAGAGCTAATGTGCCGCTCTGGCAATTTCAGTTGTGAGTTTTGTCCTGACACAGCTAATTTAATTCTAGTGTCAATGTTTGGTCATATCTAAAGATTGTTTAAATGTCTTGAATCATTGGAACAACAGCAGAAATGAATTTTAGATATTCTACTTTGACTGTCTCATGTCTTAAATCAGTCGTTCCCATTCTTTTGTTATGGACCACTGCTTTTTGTGTTGGTATGTGGCATGTCATATCCTGCAGAAAGCCTGTGTATGTTAAGACAGACAGGAAGAGGCTGAAGCATTATACAGACTTTTGATAAACTCATTATCTGTTACAGTAGTTTAAGCAATTTACCCTCTGTCACCTAAATGTAATTCACAGCAAACAAAGAGCCTTCACAACCTGTGCTCTAGAAGGCTTAAGATGCACAGCTTTTCATGTGTTCAAACAGATACAATGGAGAATATAATAATTTAAGATAATTTTATTACAAAGTAACTTCTCACACAGTTTGCAAGTGCAGGGACTACTGTGACAACAAGCGGGGTCCTCATGCCCATGGCACTCACTGTTGAAACTGGCTTGAACACCACTTAAGTGGTAGAAAGAGTTTGCTTGAATTATGAATTCTTGAATGAACAAAAGTCTAGTACTTACTTAGAAGTCTGAGCTTTAAAGTCATATACAGCTCTAGCTGGCAGTTTCTGAAAAACAGGTGAAGTGATTAATACATTCAGGTAGTATTACTATATGATAAATGTGTTTCAATTTTGAAAAGGTGACCAAGATCCAAAAAAAAAAGGATGAGCTTTACAGTGGTTCTTGAAAAAACAGGTGATAAAATATACGTCTTTTTTTTAA